GATTTAATTCTTAAATAAAAATAATGTACAATTTGCATATTGTGTTAGACATCATAAAAATACTGTTAATTATTTGGAGAAAGAAAGAGAATAATTGGAGAAATTAAAATAAGTATATTCCGACAGCTTTACAAATTGTCGATGCATGCCAATTATACGGAATGTATACGGCACCCTGTATCCTTGACGCTGTTGATTCATGAAAATTCTTCAATATTATTAATCTGTGAACCCTATATATAACCTCGAATCTAAAATCTACCCTATTAATATCATTTTCGCAAAAAGCGATACTGGTAAAAAGAATCGCAGAATGGAAAATGCAGATAAAGTATATTAACATCCGTAAATAATCTGCGAAAAGAAAACAATACCCAATACACCGGTCAATATCACAGCTACTCGTCTTGTCTTTTTTTTGAGAATTTAATCATTAATATTAAATAATTCTATATATATGTGTGTGTGTGTATATATACATATATATATATATATATGTACTTAAAATTATTCATTAGGAATCGACGAAATTGTGCGCGACTCTCGAAGCCACGTAGCACTTTATTTTACAGTGTCGTAGGAAACTCAAGTTTCTGCAACGTACTGTAACAACCGAACACAGATGGTCATACCTCGAATTCGGTAAGAACTAGACTTTCGCTCGTCGATGGCTGCGTCAATGAGGCGAGGAAATCCTTTGGTCTAGCGTTCTCTCCGCAATAAATCATTACTAATTCATTTGGAGATCATATACATGAATTTATGCAATCGCTTAGACTTCTTCGCACTGAAAAACTTCAGTGACTTAAAAATGCGTTAAATACATCCGATAACGTCGTGTTACATATGCACTTATTATATCTAAGCCTTTAGTTCCTCGCTACACCACAGATCATGATATTAGGAAGGGCTCCTCGACGTTTGCGCCAAGCGCCAAGAGACTGTGCGTGAGCCTGTAATGTTCTACACCATCTTTTCGTTCTCGCGCCATCCTCTGCCTATAATAAATCAATTTACCATTTATTCGTATCAATGTCAATAAATTCTATCTTTAAATTCATATTATCTCGATCTGTATTTAAAATTAAGCTAAATACCTTAAATATAAATGTTTCTTTAGAAGACAATTCCTGTATTTCGAAATAATCTTCGAGATCCGTTTCACAACATACTATGCATTTATCGAGATACAGCGGCTCCTGAAATGATATCGATGGTTCAAAAAAACGGATTTGTGTGATTAATAAAATAATATGAAATATAATCACTCACTCGTAATAAAGAATATCGTCCAAGTTTCTCTTTAACCAGAAGTAAGGTAGCTTCCTTGATACCTATGTGCTTTGGAAAGAGCGATTCGTCGTTAAATTCGGGATAGTCGGCATTCGGCTAAAAAATAAAAATGTTATTTACATTTAACACACACAAAATTTACGAGACATATTTAAAGACACGTATTGTACATATTTACTTTGCCGTTTGTAACAAGCATAGCAGTAACAGGCGCAAGTTTAACAGTTCGACCGCGTCTCCAGTTGTTGTCAGTCGGTTGCGCTACCAGAAGACGTCCTTCGAGGACAAACCTAGCTTCTTCGTGTGCCCATTCCAAAATCTCGACAGCCATCTAATGTAAATTTTATAAAAATTAATAGCATGATTAAAGAATTAAGCAATTAAAATTTTAAAATTGAATAAGTATAAATAGAGTATCTTAATTAGATTTACACACCTTTCTTAATTTAATATTCACCATATCCTGTTCGCCGACGGACCGTCTGCCATTCTGAATAATTGATATTCTCCTCCACAATTTCGTCGACGTAACATCCTTTGCCTCCTATTATAATTATAAATACATATTTATTTTTCAATTTTAAATTGTACTAGATATGTACTTCGTGATATATTTACAGCATTCATATGTTCCAAATGTAATTCGATATTTGTTTGTGCTTGCTTAAGCCTCTTTTTCGCTTCTTGGATATCAGGTCGAACAGAAGGTGTCGCTTTGAGTAAACGTGCCAGAAGCAAAGGATATTTTGTAACTCTTTGGACAGGAACCTGTAAAAAATACAATACATCAATTATGAATATATGATTTATATCTTTCATTTCTGAATAAAAGGTTAAATCAAGGAATTAAGTAACAATACCATTAAAAAGGAGTTTAGATTCATTCTTCGCAAAACCGTGTTCTCCATTTGAGAAACCCTGAGAAAGATGCGAAGAAGCTCTTTCTCCTTCTCCAGATTTTGTAATAATAAACTGGCGCCGCCTTGACGCGTGCAGTAACTCTCGAAAGCGTGGAGCATTCTTTCGGATTCGAGGAAGATCTTACCCACGTCCACCGTCAAGAGATCCTCGTCCCCGGATTCCTATACAATCGAAAAGATCAGACACAATACAACATCACAATACACATACTTTTCAATATCAATTCATACGCGTATTTAAAATAAGAACTGAAATATACATGTCTTGCAAGAGTTTCTAGGTTTACCTGAGCGAGTTCCACATTGTCCTTTAATTTCTCGGCTAAAACGAGATTATGTTCGAGCAGCTCTTCGACGTTTAGGAAGATCGCTGATAATTGTTCCGATGTGAGAAGACCCGCTCTTAACATCGGCCGGTGAAACTCCTCGAGTATGATTTGTAGATCTCTGCCGTATTTCTGCTCGGTTTCCACGATTTCCGTGATAATCTCTTTCCGTTCCGCGCGTTTCTTCGAGCATTTCCTGCACACGAAAGGCGCATAAACGACACCGCTGAAAAAAAACATGAAAAATAAAAATATCTGCGCGACACCGCGATAACGCAAACCTTATAATTAAGGAACCTGCTACCAAAAAAAATTTTGTCAGATAAAAGACAATCGAAGCTTGCAACTACAAATTTGTATGTGTAATCTACAATCGGACAAAAGAGGTTGTCGCAACTTCCGGACGCATATTGCATTATCCATTCATCAAGCGTCAACCGTGCTCTTTGATAACAATACTTTCGCTTTCGAGCAAATAAAATCGATGGTTGGAGAAAGTAGCTCACTATTTCTCTCGCGCTGCATTTGTCGCGTAATTTAATCGAACAAATTCTTAGATACAAATTCTAAAAGCATTCAATAGTTTTGGACAATAGTTTCAGACAGCCAAACTTGAGTAACAAAAATAAATTACGATATGGATAGATTAAAAATTTCAATACAATTTTAATCCATTCTTGGAGAATTTAATTAGAGAGACTGTTAATTAATCAGAGAGCTCGCATTTCCAGTAATCGGTGCATTAATTTGAGCAAAGATGATTTTTTTCGATTGATTTCTCACAAGAGGAAGATCGGTACAGATCGCTACGACGATGCGCAGGTGGATCACAGCTGTGAAAAATTCGCGACCGTAACGAAACGGCATTCGTTCCTCGATTCACAGGATTACTCCTGGGAGGCCGGAACGCAGAACGGCACTTTGTTCGTGGATTTATTTATAGTTCAGAGGCGAATCGAGCGAATCTCGCGCAGAGTTCGCAGTAAACCGAATCTCTCACGGTCGAAACTCGGCCGCGCAGCCGTGGAAGATACGCTCTAGCGAGGACTTTGGACCGTTATATCCTCTCTCCGGATCATCGAACGTTATCTGCGAATCTGGGAAGCGATAACAACGATATGATTTAGGATGTCGAGAAGAACATTAAGAACGAGTTTCGAAAAGCTCTCGTAGTACATTTATATGCATCCAACGATTCAAACGGGAAACTACAAAGAGGTGAAACTACAATATAATATGACAGCAATCATTCATTCAGGATATCGAAATATTTTTCCATATTTATAATACCGGATATCGAACGCATCAAAACAAGGTCTCTCAAGGTTCGGTATCAAGTCTCTCATATCAAGGCTCACCTGTCTGTTATCAGAGGATCCAGTCGTTGCTCGCAGTCCTCGCATAACTTTGTGGCCCCGGAAATCACCTGCGGCATTCCGCCGAGGAGGCTTCCCGGGCCGGAGGAGACGTTGCCTGTCCTCCAGCGTCTCGCGACACATCGAGTGCTACTGGCTTGGCTGCTCTCAGATCCGACTCCGCTGTCAGTTCTCTCTATGTCGACTGTCCGCGACTGTGACAATGATAAGAAGCATTGATTAGAACCCCACGTTAACTAGCATGTATATGTTATTATTTCAAAGATCTCAAAAAAATGTTTTATTGGAATTATTAATTGGTACTCAGTCAAGTCTGTTGAAAACAAATTTTGTCAAGTGTTTGCTTTAAATTTTCAACAAAAAGATAAAAAAAATTTGATGCAAATTATGTTACATTTGATTAAATTGTTAGCAGATAAAATTCACTGACAAAAAATATTGGTAAAATCATGTTTGCAATTTGATAACAAAAATTGGCGGCAAAAATCAATCAAAGTTTCGTTTGATTTTTGTCGACAACTTGCTTTCACATTATATCAGCAAACTTTGTCAGCGAAAGTTTAATACAGACACAGTTGATATGAATTGGCTGAATATTTTGATCGAATTTACCAGCAATTTGTAGACAAATTGCTAATATTTTGTTGTCTGGGTAGCTTCAAATTCACCTTCAATGTTTCCGGTGAGCTCGTCAAGATAATATTGCATTCCTCGCTGCAATTTGATAACAAAAATTGGCGGCAAAAATCAATCAAAGTTTCGTTTGATTTTTGTCGACAACTTGCTTTCACATTATATCAGCAAACTTTGTCAGCGAAAGTTTAATACAGACACAGTTGATATGAATTGGCTGAATATTTTGATCGAATTTACCAGCAATTTGTAGACAAATTGCTAATATTTTGTTGTCTGGGTAGCTTCAAATTCACCTTCAATGTTTCCGGTGAGCTCGTCAAGATAATATTGCATTCCTCGCTAC